TGATAAATGGTCTTAACCCACTCTTTCAGAGAATTAACTCACCATAAAGAAAGATAATCTCCACTTGATTTAGCAACAAAATTAATGATGATTTTACCACAGACTTTTTAAATGTGTACATTAAAAAAATACTATAAAATAATTTAGGATATAATAAATCAAATCTAAGTAATTTTTGAGCATTGAAGAACATCACATTTCACTACGATATGTCTTCCACTCTTCGATTTTGTCATAATTTATCTCCGCTGACATACAATTCTAAATCTGCCCTTAGTTGTATACTTCTCTTAGACCCTACTATAAATGTAAGCCATTGGGTACAACTTTTTTTCTTAGGCGTAACTAATTTTGGGTTGGTAAAATGTGAGTGTTGCATTTTTTCGTTTTTGCAATTTTTTTAGTATTGATTCTTCTTTTATAATCCTTTGTCCTTTTGCAAGTTTTTTTTGGGTAAAATTGACTTTCCCTACAACCACCCTTATCAAACCAAAGCATAGGCTTAAAAAAGTGATTGATATCTGTATTGCACGGAATGAAAGGTGGTGCTCCCTTCAAACCAACAATTATGAGGCTCGTAGTCAAGAATGTGGTTGATTGCTACTCAAATAATATGTCGTTTATCTCAACAAGGACATGTTCGTCTGAAATGGAAGTTTAGTGTACGACTTTATGTTTACTCCGAGATGTATAAAGTTATTTTTGTGATGATTAATGATATACACGTCGAAATTGTACATCAAATTATTTGTAGCTGTCAAATCAATTATCATTAATTCAATGGCCGTAAATGATTTGATGCACATTTTTCAATTATTTTCATGATGTGATCTTGTTATACCTAATTCGCAATAAGATAACTTTATCTTTACACCAAACCCTTTGTCGATGGCATTGCCTGCAAAGGGGGTTAATTATGATAAATCTAAGTTTTTGATCAATAATAGGAAAAATATAGAATCATAAGTACTAGAGTTTTTTCTAAAGGATTCTTGACAGGACATGCACTTAGGAGGAAGAATCATTATCATCATGTATGGAAGTGTAGGCCCATGCTGAGAAAAGGTATTGTCTTTTCAAGATACCATTGTGTTAACCATTCCTATTTCACACTTGGTGATGGTCCTAAAGCAAACTTTAGCACTTCTTTTCTTCACAAGCAATATGCTCCTAGCATGACCAAAAAGAGATGATGGAATGGAAAAAAAAGTGGTCCAAGAATGTCATCCATATTTTCAAAAAGCAGATAAGGATTGAAGATATCCCTTTTTCTCCTAGTGTAAGCCAGACAACTGGTTGGAAGGAGGAATATGTCATTCAGGTCTTGCATGATAGATCTCTCTTTTTCTTTAACCTATGGTGTTTTCAAGTCTTTTTAAATAACCGACTAATCTCTCTATATACATGCAGTGGTCTTGTTACATATTGAGAGCATAAGAAAAGATTCGAACTTAGTACCTTCAACTTTGTAAGGTGCATTTATGACCCCGTTGGGTTACATCATACTTGATCTCACATGACTTAACTAAGTGAACTATTTCTCGGCCCCGGAAAAAAAAAAGGCAAATTACACTTTATACATTGAAAGATTTTAAGATTTTCATTTTGCACCTTCACTATTAACAGATTTTTTCATTAGTGTTAACTTTTCATTAATTTTTCGTTAGTGTTAATTTTTTCATCAGTGTTAACGGATTGACTTTTGACAAAAAAAATAACGAAAGTTAACAGAATAGTCATATTACAACACTTTTGATACATTGAAGATAAAATGTAACAAATTAATCTTTAAGAACATAAAGTGATAATCTTAAAATCTTATAAAGTACGAAGTGCAAAAAACCCACAAAAAAATAGGGTTAATGGCATAAAACTCACATGGAAGTATAGTTTATTTTTGGAGAGAGAGAGAGAGAGAGAAAGAGAGGGGGTGGGGGGTTAAATGCTGAGCTCCAAACTATTTCAAGCATATGATGTCTTAAGAACTTTAACACCGAATTTCTCTGGACCTAAGTCCCAAAATAAGGGAAAAAAAATCATACACAACTATGAAAAAATAATAGATAGAAGTTCCTTATTGTGTAATACGTGTCGAAAATTCAAACAAATTCAAATCTATGTGCCTTGTAGAACTCACTTTTATCTCTAATACGATCCATATAGTAAAGACATGCATTATTTTGCACAACTCAATCACATAAGATGTGTGTGATATCTTTAAACTAGTTATTTTTCGTGCTTGAAGGCACGAAGTAATAAAAAAAATAGTCAACAATAAACTTATTTGTATTCATATTTAAAATCAAATTACAAAAATAGAGAAAAAATAAAAGAATTTAAGTACTGGTTACACTGGGGGCGAGTGGTAGTAGTGATGGTGGGCGATAGTGGTAGTGGAGGAAAACGATGATAGTTGTGATGAATGATGACAATCGATTGTAATGTTGACAGCTATAGATGATAATAGTGATGATGGTTGGGGGGCAGTGGGGGTGATGGTGGGATAGTGGCGAAGGTGGCAACGGTGGTGGTGATAGGGGCACTAATGGGGGTGGTGGTGGTGGGGATACGATAATGGAGGTGGTGGGGGGCGGTGGTGGTGGTTATTGTGAAAAAGGTGATGGTGGGGTTACAATAATGGTGGTAATGACGGTGGTAGTGCGGCGATAGGTGTGGTGGTGGTGGTGGTAGTGGTAATTGTGGTGGGACTGGTGGTGGTAGAGATGTTAGTGGGACGGTTTTCAAATACTATTTTTTTTAAAATATTTATGAGAAGTTAAAAATGTTTTTTAAAAGTCACTTCAAACACACCCTTATGACCCTATTTTTCATAGTATTAATATTAGCCGTCAGATTAATTTTAAAGTAAAATTTAAAGAGATCTCAATCTCGAATAATAAAAGTCATTTTATTTATCTTTTGAGATTTGAATTGTATCGTATAACTCAGGTTAAGCTCCGTCTCGGAACCTTGTGGGGTTAGGAGTAAAGCATCCCGAGGTTGGCGCATCTCGTTGAGCGTGGAGAAGCATTGGGAACCCCAGGAACTTTCAAATTCCTGGAAGTTTCATTCCAGGTTTCCTCAATCACTAAGAATAGAAGGAAAATGTGTATGTAGATGGCCCTTGGGATGAGGCATCCCTTTTACAGACACCAAAATATGGTAAAATTTACATTGGGCCGGGCCTGTCTGGCCCTTGTCAATTTTTTAATACTGACCCATTCTGAATAAGGCCCGACCCATGACCACCTCTGGCACAACAAACCTTCCGATGTTGTCCAAATAATGTGATAGCCGATATGGTAAATAAAAGTGGGATCAAATCCATCGTTATCACAGTACCACGTCATTTTTATTTATATTTTTGGTCTCATATTTATGTCAATCTATTATTATTCTTAGTCGAATGGTACTCACTAATAAAATCTATGAAGCCCAAAGGCGTCTAAATGGGCCTCCAAATTACTAAATTTAAGAATTTTTATTTTGTTCTCTCAAAAATTAAAATTTTTACATTACATTTTTAATATATTAAAAATGTTACAATGTGACACTTTCGTTAGCTTTCATTACTCATTTTATCAATATCAATGGATTATTTTTGATAGAATAAGGGTCGCATTGTAATATTTTTAATATATTAAGTATATAATGTAAAAAATTAAAATTTTAAAGGTATAAAATAAAATTCTTAAATCTTTCACAGTACAAAATGTGATTCCCCTAGTGAAAAATGACATTCTTTGAAGGGTTTTTTAGAAACCGGTACACCTAATTAGACTTATTTGACAAAAGTACATAAAAAAAATATTTTAAAAAAAAGTACACAGCTGAGATACAAAGAAGTATATACCTATTTTAGGGTCATTTAATTCAAAATCTCTTACATTTAATATATCTTGATTAATGTGTATTGTTAATATATATATATATATATATATATATACACTTGTTCTTACATATTTTATCTAAATTTTGAATTATCTTTATTATATCTTGATTTATGCGTATTTTTTTTTGAAAGTGATTTTGTTTTTAAATTATATTTAATGCACTTTGATTCATGCGATTTTTTTTTTTGAAAAGTGATTTTATTTTTAAATTAATTTAATATCCATATATTGTAATAGTGTAACAATGACAATCTAACAAAAACAGTATTCAGTAGTTTTGTGCATGTGGTAACAAATTCAAAACGAAGATAAATTATTTTGAATGAATCTATATGTTTAACAAAATGTAATAATATAATTTTTTGTGTAAATAGCTTGTTACACTATTATTGTTACATTATTACACTATTCAGATATTAAATTAATTTAAAAATAAAGAGTAATACTAGATGGACTTAAAAATTAGAGTTGATAATCTCAACCATTAAATAGGTAATCAGTCTCAATAAAATGTTGGGACTCACAGTGAAATCAATGGTTGAGATTATTAAGTTTATTTTTTAAGTCCATGTAGCATTGCTAAAAAATAAAACTAATTTTCATAAAAAAAACACATGAATAAAAGTGCATTAAATATAATTTGAAAACAAAATCACTTTTAAAAAAAAAATACACATAAATCAAGGTGTATTAAAGATAATTTAAAATTTAGATAAGAGATTTAACAACAAGTGTAATTAAATTTAATGTACAATACATATATATATATATTAAAGTTATCTCATAAAATTATGAGATATTTAATGTATCACTTTCAAAAAAAAAAACACATAGATAAATGGAGGGCAAAAATGTCACAAAAAAATCAGTAAAATTCAAATAATGTACTTAAATAGAAATAAGTATCAAAATTAAGAACTTAATTACCTAACATTTTTTCTGTGTACTTTTTTATAATTAAATTTAATTTGATGTATCTCCTTATAATTTTCCCGTCTTTCAATTGGACCAAGGTCTGACGATATAAACCCAAGGCCCATGTAATACTAAACTCGGCCCAATTATGTTGCGAATTAACAAGGACACAACACAAACCACGGAAAAACCCTAAACCCTGGAGCCTAGAAGCTTCCAAGTCCTACCCCTGTCTTCAGCCCCCTTCTAGATTTAAAACCCAGACCCATAGCACAACCTCTCTGAGGTCAGAGTCCATCAGCAGAATAGAATCGAGAGAAGAGCTCCTCATGGCAAAGCGTCTGATTCCAACCTTGAACAGGGTTCTGGTGGAGAAGATTGTCCCTCCAACCAAAACCACAGCTGGTATTCTTCTTCCTGAGAAATCTACCAAGGTAGTATCGTAGTTTCTTTCTCCTCAAATCTATTGTTGTGTTATGTCTATATATACTATGTCTGAATTGATGGTTGGGTTCTGTGTGTTTGGGTTTTTTTTTTTGGGTGGGATTGAATCCAGTTGAAGTCAGGGAAAGTGGTGGCTGTGGGGCCTGGGTTGCCTGGTAAAGCAGGAAATAGGATACCAGTGGCTGTTAAGGAAGGTGACACCGTTGTCTTGCCTGACTATGGTGGTACCCAAGTTTTCCTTTGTGACAAAGAGTATGTGCCTCTCTCTCTCTCTGCCCCCCTCTTTTCTGCTTTGTTCTAAATTTATTTTGCTTTGTTAACAATTTAGTCTTGAATTATACAATTTGGGTTAATTAAGCCTTGGAATTATATTTGGTGTCAGTTTAGTCCCAAGCTATTTAATCTATTTCAATGTGACCTTTCTGTCTAAAATCGTCTCACGTCACATCACGCGGCATGGCCCTTAAACCGTAGCCTAATTTTTGTCGTGATGTGCGGGTAAAACTTTTTGTTAAATTTAACGACAAATTTTGATGATAGTGTCAGATTGTATCGGCTAAATTGATACAAAATATAGTTTAAGAACTTGATTGATATAAAAAGTATAATTCAAGGGTCAAATAAGTAGTTAATTCTAAAATAAATGCAGTGAAAAGTAATTTTGGATATTATAGTTGGACCCTCTTATTCATATTGTGATTCATTTCTTAACCTTCATTTATTCTAAATCCATATTTGTGGTTTTCTATGCATTCAGAACTATTTTTTTCTACCTTATTTTTGTTTTTTGTTCTTTCTTTTTTTTTTGTGTGGGTATTTTGTGCAGGTATCATTTGTATAGGGATGAGGACATACCGGGGACTCTGCATGATTGATTATGATCAGCTTGGTTAGCAATCAATGGAGGTTTCTGTATGAGTCTTTAGATTATTAGATTAGTGTAGTTTAATATCGGAAATGTAACTCCGTAATAATATTAGGTACATTTGTTTTGGAACATGAATCGGTTTGCAAGTGTTATTGTGTCAAATTCTGAATTAATCCCGGCATCAATTTTCATAACTTTAATTTTTTTTTTAAATTTAATAAATAAATATTTTGTATATGTGTACTTGAATTTAATATTATCTCAAATTTACCAAACTTATTTTTTCATCACTCATGCTCCACTATTGAATTTTTGAAAATTTTATATGTCTTCAAGATTTGTTATTCTAAATTTAAGAAAAATGATAAAAAAAAATTAAAATAAATAATTAAAGTTATATTTTTTTTCTATAAGTTTGTAATTGAAGGTGATTTTTAAGTGATGTTTGAAAATTAAAGTTTTTAAAATTGATTTGATTAAGATTCCACTTATAATCATTACATAAAATAAAAAATAATTATCAATATACCAACGTATTGGAACTTTTATTATATTTAGCATTAGTTAGGTCAATTGAGATAAAATTTAAAATATAACACCATAATATATATATATTATAAAACAGATTAATATTTTTAAAGAGTATTATAATCAATCAAAAAGTTTCAAAAAAATTGACATTTATATATAGGGAATATATAATTATAAATAATTTTAGATGTAATTTGGATATTTAAATTCATAAGGATATGATGGTAATTTAGATATTAATTGTGGAAGGATAGAGTGACTTTTTAAATTCTTTATAAGAATAATAGTGAATCAAAAAATTTTCATGTTAAGATGCTTTTATTAGTAGTATAGATTATGGGTGAGTAATGTTATGTAAATCAAATTGTATCTCAAATGAAAGAAATCTCATTGGATTAGTGGGATCCATTTAAAAAAATTGATGGGAGTCATTCATCTAATGATCTTCTTCATTTTGGAATAAAAATTTAAGTTACAAATTTGGATTACATAATATTTCACTTATGGATAACATTATTGATCTTGTGTTGATTTGTTTGTAATCATTGGTAGTATCTATTTGGCCCTTTAATTATATAATTTGTGTCAATTAAGTCATTAAATTATATTTTGTTTTAATTTAGTCCCTTAATTGTGTAATTTGACTCAACATGACCTTTCTGTCAAAATTCGCTGTTAACTTTGATGAGAATCCTCACGTGGATAAGAGATTAGGATATAATTTAAGGATAAATTTGGACAAAAAATGTCACATTGAATCAGATTGAATAATTTATAAGCTAAATTGACACAAAATATAGTTTAAGTGTTTAATTGATATAAATAGTAATTCTTATGAATAGTTCGAAAAAAGAAGAGTGAATTTATTTATTTTTAAATGTTATTTGAAACTAATTTGGGACCCTAATGAATTACAATGGATGGATAAAGAGTGGGTTTCATCTAACACCGAAATTTCTAATTAATCTAATGATCAAATTGAATTGGGTGACTATAACATATCTCTTAAAAAAAAAAATTGGAGGAAATTGTTTGGTTTGGTTTCTTTCTAATTTCATAAGAATCGGTGAATTCTCCAACTCTCAATTAGATGGTCCATATTTGTTTATATTAGCAAAATTACTTGATTCAAAAAATATCTTGAATTTTTGAGACTCAAAATCAACTAAACTTGCTGATGCGTATTGCATTAATCTTGACCATCTCAAAGTGAGTTAAATGGTCTTTCAATTCTTATGAAATTAAAAGGAAATTTAACTTGATTTATTCAGAAGCCAAGAGAAATAATTAAATGTGGATATTTATAAAATAGACGAATTATGAATTTTTTTCTTCAGGCTATAAGTGGTTGTGTTTTTTTTTTTTTTTCAAAAAATATAGTTCATTATTAGTGAAAATTGGAATCGTAATAGTTGATTTATTAAATATAACAAAAGTCTAACTTTTTTGAACTAATGGATAGATATAAGAATAATCACCCCCAAGAATTCTCAACTTTATTACTTATTCTAAGGGATTTTGTCTATCCTTTAAGCATGTAAAAAAGATGATGAATGGAATGGCGTCGTAAGAATCGATTAAATTGGAAATCAGACTAATAAAACTTCTGTAAAGTAACACATGCATATTACATGTGTTCAGGGATGACAATAAACCAAAGCGGGGGCAAGGGCATAGTTTTCATCCTTATGCCTGTTTAAAAATACTCCGTTCATTCTCGTTTTATCTCTGTTAACAGGTATAATTTTATTTTCATCACCATCCATGAGTAAATTTGTAATCATAACCCCCCGTCCCTCGCCATCACCCCCGCCCCCCCCGCCCTAATTCACTTATTTACTGATAGCTTACTGCAAAATATATGGATATAAGTTCATTTGTCATATGAAATACGGAAAAAGCAACAAGTATTAGGCGGTTGAGAATTATTTCGACTTTGAATTATCATACCAGTAGAAGTGGTCTTCATGCTGACAACTTCATAAATGAAAACTAGCAGTCACTATTTCTATCTACATAACTTGGGATTGGACTGCAGTATATTAGAGCTTTCAGTGTTGAAGTTTTTGTTATAGTAAGAATAACACAATTGATGGTGTTCGTTTTCACAGGTCCTAAGAGCTTGCGATTGGAGAAATTAGGGGCCAGTGATCAATGGACAACTAATAGACTTGAGGGCAGGTGAAGGCATAGAGGAGTCAAGAGAGTGATTCAGTTATGACTTCGGATATTTTCGTGTAAATTCATCGTTTAATATGTATAATTCATCTCCCGTCTAAACAAAACGAGTTTAAACAAATACTCATTTTTTTTCGATCCACTACATCGATAGGTGTGTTAGTCGAAGAAAGCCTCTTAAGCCTATTCAAATTGTTTGAAGGGATTGTTATTGGAAAACCCCAAGGTTGTTCAATGGGTCTGTTAGACTTGGCATATCCTGTCTTAGTTTGTCCCAAATGTCGGCATCAGTGGGTCACTTGTTTAGCTCGAACATGTAACTTCCCTTGATGTGCCAAACTATTTGACTTCCACACAAGGACATGTAATGTATTCTTACATAGTTTGCCGTGAACGTATTTAATGCTACTAACATCTTGCTCCAAGTATTGTCATCTGATTGGTCCGGAGGGTAACACCCTTTTCAATAATTTAGGGCTAATCTCAATTTATATCGAAAAAGATTACTAAAATTTTAAATTTATATCCTTAAAGTTTAAAAATATTAATTTACACATTAAAAGATATAAATTCGTATCAATGTACATTTGAAACTAACTTTGTCCATTTTTTCGTTAAAAAAATTTGGATTAATTATAAATTATACCCTCCAAGTTTAAATATTTCATATTTATGATTCAAAAAAAATTTCATTAATTAATGTTCGTTAAATAACTTTCAATTGTATCGTATCATGCATATTCGTATAGTGTTCGAGTCAATAAAAAATATTTTTCAAAATTTTTAAAAAATTATAAAATTCCTATTTTTTGCATACAATACTCGTTACATAACTATTTTCTTTTTACAGTTAAACACAAATCTTTTGATTGTCTGATCAAATTAAAGTTAGATACGAAATAACATAACTGTAGACAAAAAAATAATTATTTAACTAGTGTTATAGACAAAAAATGATATTTTTTTAATTTAAAAAAAATATTAAATAACATTATATGAATTGTCGTAAATATAAAATATAAGATACAACACAATTAACTCGACACAAACATATATTTTTGTTAAAAATATTTTTTTATTGACTTGAACACGACACAAAATGTTATGATACAATATAATTGAAAGTTATTTAATGATTATTAATAGATGAAATTCTTTTTGGATCATAAATTTAAAATATTTAAATTTTGAGGGGTACAATTTATAATTAACCCAAATTTTTTTAACGGCAAAATAGATGACATTTAGTCTCAAGTACATATTGATACAAATTTACACATTTCAAGGTGTAAATTAATATTTTTAAAACTTTGAGCGTATAAATTAATATTCGAATAATTTTTCAGAATGCAAGTTAAGATTAGTCAAATAGTTTAATACAACTTCATCATAGTTTGCATTCTCCACTAATCCAAGGAATTGTATCTCGTTTCAATGTAATTACAGCTGAACAAATGCAATGCAAACAACAAGAGAGTGAGGAAAAAATAGTTGCACAAAGTGAGAGAGAGAGAGAGGGAGAGAGAGTGGTTTGGTAAGTTAAGCAGTTCTCCTAAGGTCGGCCAGAAAGAGCTCTAGTACAAAGATTAATTCCAGGTAGATCATCCCATTTAAATAAGCTCAACAAAACTTTTGGAAGATTTTTAATCCTAATAGGAGAAGAAAACAAATGTGCACATGGAATAAATTCAGTCTTAACATATAAGGATATAAAGCCATAGGAAATGGTAGAATCCTATCGAATTAGGCATCATCAAACTTTGCTCCATTATTAATACAACTCAATCACTTCTCTCAATTATTATTCAAATAATTGTGATTCAACGTAAAAGACAATTCAAATTACACCCTGTAGGTGGGAAGAGGATTAAAAAAGGCTGACACATTCATCTATGTCAAGGGGATACGTATGACAAATATATGAGATAGAAGGAACTTGAGTTATTTGTTAATAGAGGGACTAATCAGTTGGGCAGAGGGTGGGTTGATAGGATAAATGCTTTTACCAACCAGGGTGCTTATCTTAGATCAAATAATAATGAATGCCTCGCAATGAGTAAGTAATTTATGTATTTAGCATAGTACCCGAGTAAGTTGGGTTGCTCGCGGATGCCCTCTGACACGCGCTCCAACTTACAACTACCTCGATCATGGCAACACCGATGACTACTCACTACGAGCCACGTGCCCCAATAATAATTAGACAGATGTGACTTTTTTCTTGAATACAGCCTGGACGTAACTCCCAAAGAGAGACGTTTTAGCTGAGGCAAAAGGCGACTCTCAAGGTCAATGATCACGGCTGGTCACTGCGAGAGGGTTGCGTTGCCGCCCCCCCCCCCCCCCCCCCCCCCAAACACACTCCTACATGTGGTTCTTTTTTTCCTCTCTGAATCCTTCTTCGAGATTTTTGTCACAGTGCTTAAAAGAGGAAATTTACATAATTTTGATTCTTTAACCACTAATTTACATGTCTTATCGTCTCACATATTGGTCTGAACCAACGACTCTAGTTATTTTAGGAGTTTCTCCGAACTCCAATCAATAACATCCTAGTGGGCAGTGAATCGCACATTGAGAGGCTTGCTTGAACAGATTCTCTATTTTCAGGTTGAGATTACCAATCATACTCATTTGCTCCCGTTGCTCAATTTTCTCATAAGGAGGGTCGTATTGCCCTCTCCCTAAGTGGGTATCTGATTGAATAGCAATGTTCCGTAGGTTAAGAATATTAACTTTGTCAACCGTGAAATCTCAATTTTGTGCCATATTTCCATAGTAAGAGGATGAGTCGTGCCAATATTATCCCTAGACTTTTGTAGTGCTACCCTTATACGTTCCTTAGTCAAGATTTCATATTGTCACTTTGAATATAAGGAGGATGTGTCATGTCCTTTTTACGTTGCTCGACGCTTCCTGCAACACTAGGTGCCTCCAAGACACTAGAATGCAGGCGCAACACTTGCGTGCTATTGCGGCGCAAGAGCTGCCACGACTCAGATGCTGTCGTAACGTTATTGTCCTTATTAATTCTATTGAATTCCATTACCCCCATCAACTCATACCTTTTTATTATTTGTCGTTCCATGAGTATGGACATATACCCACTCCCAAAATCATCACCTTTCTTCCCGTCCTTAGTCCAATCACGTGCATCCCCACAAACCAAAAACACCCCCAACCCATAAACTCTGTCAGACTGCCACCCCCCCTCCACTCCCCAATCAAAATCCCACACAAATCACGTTTACCTCCTTCCCTCTCAAACCCTTCATTTTCTTCTTGCAATTAATTCCCAACCTGATCGAATCCATTAGAACGGGCGATTCCACTTCTTCTTTCTTCTCTTCCCCTCTATCTCTATATCTGTCGATAGATATCTATTCTAGAGAGAGAATAAAGAGAGAGGATGTACTCTATTGTGTGTGTCATGTGAGGTGAGATCAGAAATGCACGCGTACAATAGGCTACCGAGCAGCGGACACAGCAGCCCATCATCACCGCAATCGCCCCTCCGCTCGCCTAGGCTCCGCCACGGCAAGTCTAAAGTTGGCCGGTTCACGCCCGGACCGGCACCGAAAACCCTAGCCCAACGCCTCGCTTGGGTCCTCTTATCCGTCCTTCTCCGAAGACAAGGCATTTTTCTCTTTGCTCCGCTTTTGTACATCTCCGGAATGCTATTCTATATGGGAACGATGTCGTTTGATGTGGTGCCGATCATATCTCACCGTCCGGCTCCAGGGTCACTTTATCGGAGCCCCCAGGTGTACTCAAAGCTACGGCCGGAGATGGATTCCGATAATTTGTCCGCCGATGCGGTCAGTGATTTGATTTTGTTTTCTTCTAATATCTGCAATCGATCGAAGAAATTATTCAATTACTTGCTCTGGTTTCTTTAGAATTAAAATATTGAATAAAGATTTTTTTTTGGGTTGAATAGACAATAAAAAATTTGGCTGGTATTGTTTTTGTTCAGTTACTATATTCAGAGCTGTTGATAAGTGTTCTGTCTACTTTGTTGTATAATTTAGTGGTTATTCAGTGATCACCTCGATTGCTTATACCTTGCCTTCATCTTGATGTGTTGCTTATACCTTCCTTTGCTTTTTGTTTTCATATATTCTCTCTTTAGGAAAGGTTATTCCCTTTAGAGATCATGTAAGGATAGATAAAAAAGTTGGAATCTGGGTGATGGTGTAACGCTGATATGAACCATGTTGGTAACGTTATACTTCTGTGTGAATCTAATGCAAGAAGCTCAAACAACCAAGTAAACAAGGTTTGTTGTATGGAGAGAGGGTAGTGGTGTTTTAGGTAGCTCAAGTTTTATGTTTTTGATAGGAGATGCCCTCCAAGTTCCAACTCGCCAAAATACATAAAAGAGGAATATTACCAAACTCCTTAGGCACTGAAGCCCAAAACAATGCCAATAAGTAAAGTCAATTCCATAAACCCTCAACTTCCTCACATATAATAAAAAAATTTCGTATTGCTTTCTAGATCTTATAGTAGCCAAAAAACCCAAAGCCAAAAAATTTTTCCACTCTTATCTCCACGAAATCTCGTATCGTCCAAACATAACATGGAGGTTATAAACCTTGGTGCCACCCCCACAATATCCCACTAGGCCAAAAAGCTTAATCCATAATGATCGCATCATAGGACAATCCTAAAATAAATTATCTACATCCTCACTATCACCTAGACACATAACATTTCATTGTGAAAGAAGACAACGGTTGAGTCTTTATCTTTTATGAATATCTTTATTATTGATCTTACCATGAGCAATAATCTATGTGCAAATTTGCACTTTTAAAGACACTTTGCCTTCCAAATCTTCAATGATGGATGAAAAAGATTGAAATGAAGAATTATCTATTATACTCAAAAGGATTTATATGCAAAAAATACCTGTTGGATCACCAATCTAATATCTCTGGTTAACTTTATATCAAGGTAACGCTATTAATCATGTAAGGAAGACCCAGCACTTCCGAACATTCTTTTTCCATAATTTTCTTACGACACTCAAAAGTCTCAAGAGACTAGAGAGGAATAAGACTGAACCAAAGATGCAATAGTTTACCATGATAAGAAGAAATATGATAGAGACGGGAGAATATATTAGAAAAAGAAGACTCCTCAACCTAAATATTCTTCGAAAAGCGGACTCCTCTTTAAACCCCCATAGTATCTTACTCATTAGTTTTTGCTCCTAGTAACAGAATGCTACAATGGATCTTGTTCCAATAGAAATCTCCGAAGCCATTTTTCAATGAAAGTTATATTCATATTCAACAAATTCCCAATAGAAAGACCACCTTTAGCTCTTGGCCTATAAACAACCTCTCAATTGATCAAGTGATCCTTTCTACCCTCATGTACCTATTCTTATAAAAAAATCCCTCATCAATACTTCCATTTTTCTCGCCACCAAGACATTTTAAAAAGAGACAAAATAAATATGAATGATAGCAAAAACAAACTAGACCAATTTTAACCCACCCCTAGAGATAATGGCGTTTTTCCAACTATCCAACATTTTCTCAACTTTCTTAATAACTGGATCCCAAAAAGCCCTAGACATTGGATTACCACTGAAAAGAAGGCCTGAATACTTAGCTGTCTACAACACTTCCTAATTCCAAAGCCAACCTATAAATTTTCTCTTGGGTTGAATTTATGGCCAACATGGTCCTGTTTTCCATATTAACCTTACGATCAGAAATCACACCAAAAACATCAACAATGATTTACAAATTTCTAAACTCCTCCTCATTCTCCAAAGAAAAGAAAGTTGAATTATCTATGAAAGATATTAGAGCCTTTCCCTCCTATGGACAAACCCATCAATCAAGTTACACGTCTCTGCACTTTTCATTAGCCTACTTCACACACAGAGGTTTATCATTCAAGATAAATGAAAAATTCATGGACTCCAAACATCCCCTAATCAATTTCCTCCATTTCCCTCCAAATTCTTTCTCTTTCCTCGCCTCTTACTCTTGAGTTCTAAACAACCATATTAGCTACAAGAACCACATAAATAATCTAGCCCTCACAAAAAGCCCCCTGACGCTTTAAAATTGTATCACTCTAGCATTCCTTAAGCCTAATAGAAAGAACTTTTGCTATAGCCTTATACAGGCTTGTAAGTTGTAACTAGACCAATAGACCTAAAATCCTTCAACTTCACAATGTTAATTTTCTTTGAGATAAGCCATATAAATGTAGCATTTGTAACCCATTGACTACATCCTTATGAAAGAATTCCTCAAAACACGCTTATCAAATCCTCTTTCACCTTATTCCAACAAGCCTGATAGATAGTCATAGTGAAACCATTTGGGTAAAGATCAAAGTATCGGCTGAGTTGTATTTTTCTGTACTACTGTTAAAGACGACCCTCCTACATCTCAAAAAATCTTTCCATTCACCTTGTTATCCCTTCATCAATTGAGCACCAATCAAGCCCCGCCATAGTAGGCTTAGGACAATCATGCGTTGTATATAACTTAGCAAAAAAACTAATGATCTCCCTCTCAATAATAGACTCATCCTCAATTGCCAAACCATTGTCAAGCTCCAACTTATCAAGAATCTTCCACACCCTTTTCCCATTCGCTACTTTATGAATTTTTTTTAATATTTTGTTACCTTCTTTCACCCGTTAACCCTTGATTTCTGTCTCAAATTAATTTCATCTTTAAATACTACTTCCTCCACTTATTCGTAAGATCCCTCCTTTCCCTTCTCAAACCTTCATCCAAACCTTCTCCTTCTTCAATCTTATCAATAGAAGATCCTTTCCGTTATGATTTTTTTTGCCTCACGAACATCCTCAAATTGTTCCTTATTCCACACCTTTAATTTTTGTTTGATGAACTCAAGCTTTTTTCATAAACTTAAAACCCTCCTATCCTTGAAATTATCTCCCCAACCACTAGGGACCTATCCACATATTTTAAAATCTAAACAAACAAGGATCCCATTTAAATTTAGAATCCACAAGAACAATGGGGCAATGATGTGAAACCACTCTGGCTAACACCTCTTGCCTGACCCATGAAAAACAATCTTCCCAACCAACGGAAAATAAAAATCTATCCAACCTCTTACAAACCAACTTGTTCCTAAAATCAAACCTAGTGAAAGCTCCATTGGCCAATGGAGATTTTCTAAGTTCAATTTCTCTAATAAAAGTATCAAAATTCCTCACACTTTTAGTCATCCTACCCCCATTTAACTTCTCCACCGGGTCCCTCACTACCTCGACCACCAGCAATACGATACTAAGGCACGATACGGAAAAATTGTAATTAGATCTACATTAAATGGACAAAATATAGACCCCTGCTCCTAATAATTCCTAAACCTAGACCCCTCTCTTCCTAATAATATGCCTATTAATGACATCTAGCTTAGTTTCTTGCCATACTACAATTTTAGACTCCACTTTATTCAAAAAATCCTAAATTAAACTCTTCCAACCCCAAGATCCTAACTTTTCTATGTTTCAACTAACAATGTTCATAACCAACTTTCATAACCAGCTATCATTCTCTCCCTATGCCTTCTAGAACTCTTATCCTCATAATTTATCCCAGATTGTAGATTTTTTGATTCTCTCGCCCCCTTTTTCTTCCTCACACTTTTCACCTCCCCCTTATGTTTTCCTTTTTTTTTTGGAAGGGATTAAAGATAAGTCCATCTTTTCTAGAAAACTTTTCAAAACTCTCCATTTTTCTTCATCAAACACAAGTTACCACAAAATTCACTCCTTATACCTATTTTCCCCCTATTCCCTTCACCATCATAACACACCATAGCCCTAGTATTCACAACATTTGAAATTCCAGTTGCACAATTCACTCTAGAAAAAATATTACCAGTACTCAAGTTGGGTTCACAGATGCCTAGTTGCAGAACAACTAGGAAGGTTGAACTTGGGCCTTCCATGATCTATGTGGTCCATTCTCATCAGAAATCACCAACACCTTCCTTGGAGATGCAATTACATCAGAGAGACTAGAACCCAAGCCCGTCCTCTTTTTATGCAAACAATGACCCACTGCATTTCTTGACTCCCCTCCCAATACTTCCCAACATAGAAACAGACACCCCCTCCTTAGAGAGAATCCCAGGCTTGGAATAGTGCATTTCCGCACATCAAATACAAAATCAAAAGAAAACAGATTCCCCCTCCCCCTCCCCCTCCCCCCAACAAAAAAAAAAAAATCCCAAAATAAGCTACCACCATTGAAGACTTTTCAGGCTTATTACAACCTTCCAAAGTGCAAGAAAAACTCACTAGCTTGAATTACCTCATTATGTGCATTTGCCTGATCTCCGCTTTCCACATCCGATCAAATATTTTTGCAATATCTCCATAAATATCATCGATCTGTAACCTATCTTCAACATCCAATGTCACAACGTTGCAATAAGTCCATAGAGCTATTGTCGCTTTCATCCGAGTAAATCGCAACGCTCTGAATATGATAGTAGCCCTCATCAACCTCCAAACACATTCTCTTCTGCTTCTCTTCATCGGCACCTTCACCACTAGCGACAAATTCTTCTCTAAGACTGTCACAATCATCGCTATTACCCTCGTCATCGCGTTTTGACCCCCCATTATCAATCTTCATATTATTTGCTTCAGCGAGAGAAACCCCTTTAGCAACCCCAGTCTCGTCTTCCTTAGAGGCTTCAGACAATATAGCCCTACAAAGACTGGTCTTAGGTGTAAAAGAAAGGTACTCTGGGCCACATCATTTGGTAAGTATAAAACCCCCATAATTTATAACTTTAAAAGCCCCAAAGCCTTTAGACTTAAAAGGGCGCAGATATAGATTTTCATTTCTACAAATTTTTTCTGCTTGCATTCTATCTCCGCAGGAAAAAAAAAAAAAGAAAAAGAAAAAGAAATGGCTTTCCCCCTTTGAAAAGGTAGCAAATGTACCTCCATATTCTGGGCATTACCAATGGAAATCTGGATGGACTTCCAGGGGTTGAATAAACGCCCTCTTATACAAACCACTGTGCATCTCCATCTCTCTTCTTCTCTACATATAATGTCATCGCACAGGAAAATCATAAAATTATTATGCCTAATATCCTTGTTACTGTTCTTTCCATACTCCCCAACCACCTTAGCCCATTCCCTGTTCCCAAACTCGCTGGGCAGATCACACACAACACCAGTAATGACATTTCCCAATACTCTAGTAAATGCTTGCCACTCCCTTCCTTCAAGCCTAAAGGAATAATCAAAGCCCTTCTTCTGCCATTGTTTAGCATCTTAATAAACTATGACAAAGTCACGAAGCCTGCTGAACTCCATTTCAATCCATAACACCAGAACCCTTCTTTTCTGTATTTTCTGAAAAACTGATCCTTCGTATTCCACTGCAAAACAACTGCAAGGCACTTATGTGTTTCAATGATATGAATTGGTCTCAGGTTACCTATAATGCAAGTAAAATGTAAAATTGTGCAACTAATCTTTCATTGGCAGCGTAAAGACTAAATATAGTACTGTCCAATGGTTTTTACAACATTTTATGGCCCATAATATGGTATCATGGAATTTTGACAAACAATGTTGGGCTCAAAGGACGTGATGTTAGGGATGAGAAAGCCTAGGGGATGGCTTTAGTATTTATACTTTATAATGATGTTGGTGCATTTCGTTATTTGGATGTTGAGTTGATGAATGGTAATCATTTACTTTCTCAAGACTCAGGAATGGATATATTGTCACAAGCTTGATGAAATGACGAACTTCGTCATATAATGTTATTATAGCATGAAGTCATTGGATGTATGTTGTGGTCTAAGTTGTCTTCACATAAATGCAATGCTTCTCTGTGAGTGAATTCTTTGGTTGATCAACTAACAAAATTATTGCGCTCATAGGCGGCTCTGGGCAACATTTTACAAAGAATTGTCCATTTAGCTTGTCATGCATCCAACCTCTTTTTTGGGTGGGGAAGGGAAGGAAAAAAAGGGATGGGGGGATTGCTTATTTTGTCATAATCTTTTTCAAGATACTTTCTATAACCTAAGTTTTGTTGTTTCCAAGGAAAATAATGAAATGTTATTCATTTGATTAATGTGTGTTTTCACTTTTGTTTTGTTTGACCAGTCTGTTGGATTTTTCAAGTATGTGATTTCTTAACTTTGAACTGCTGCTGACTTAAGGCATCCAATTGACTGTAGATGTCAACCATATGGAAACACTCTTATAAAGGTGGTGAGTGGAGACCATATATAAACAAGTCTTCAGGAGGTATGGAATTTGACCATAACCGAAGCTGCTCATGATGTTTATTGTGCTTTAATTTCTAGTCATGTGTGGGATAAGTTTCTTCTAATAAATTATTGTATGGAAATAAGACACGTCTCAATTGCATTTGAAAATGAATTACAACCATGATGAGAGTGCTAAACTATGAAGTTGTGTGGGTGACTGCTTGTTGGTGGCAATATGCTGCAGTGGTGTTATGTGTGGCAATAGTGAGGCGGGTTGAGAATGAGGGAGGCTTCCAGTGGTGTACGAGGTTTTCTGGTGAGGTTCAAGCTTATTAATGGAGGTCGTGGCTGTGGAGTGTTGGTGGATATTTAGAGGTGATGATGTAATGGTTTGGGTGCTTGTGATTTTGAAGATGATGAGGAGGACAGGCAGCGAAGTTTTGATGATGGCGGTGGCAATGAAAGCAACGGCAAGCAGCAGTGAGAAATGACAGTGACGGGAACGATCACATGGCAGCAGAAGAAGTAAACTTGCATTGATTTTTTGGCTCTTAGGCCGAAGTGATGGAGGACCTAGCCTAGACAATCGGATTGAGAAAGAGCAGGGGAAAGAACATAGAGGAAGACATGCCAGGGAGAGAAACAGAGAAAGAGGGGAAGTGGGGAAAGTGAGGGGAAGAATTTCCAAATTCAGTTCATTGCAATATGTCAAGAAGGGAACTTTTCTCATATAAACGTACATTGATAGGCTGTCCAAAAATCTACTTGACAATTACATGAATTTAACATAATAGTAGTTTAATTTCTATACTTACAAATAAAGTAAATGCTAATTTTTTTGAAAGTAAGTAGTTAACTCATACTAGTAGCCTGAAATCTACTTGTCAGCTTTAAGTTTCATCCAATCCTCTAGTGTTTCCCATCATCCATAGTCATTCATTCTTATTATGCTAGAGTTCTCAAGTGTAGTTTTGCGACTGTTGAATAATAATTTTTGCACTCTTCTAGAAGCCCAATTCAGCCAGATCTGTCCCATTCTTTTGCTTTTACCCATCTTTATGTAAGCTAAGGCATGCTATGGTCTCCAAGTTCTCATTTCCTGTGTCCCAAACAATAGGTATACATTGTGTCATTGTATGTGCATATATACATATTCATATTTTATATTTGCGGGTACTCGGTCATGTATTTTCTGTGTGAAGTTTAATCAAGAATATGCTTACTTTGATAGGCCTACCTGAGTCAAATGGCTATATATATGTTGAGGCAAATGGAGGCTTGAATCAGCAGAGGACATCGGTAGTTTTTATGATTTTAACACTATTTATTTGTTACTTATAAATGTGCTTCATTTGATATTAACAGCTCTAGTAACTTGCGTTGTAATTGGTTACTGCCCATGCTTGTAGATATGCAATGCGGTTGCTGTTGCTGGCTATCTAAATGCAACACTTGTAATTCCCCATTTTCATTTTCACAGCATTTGGAGAGATCCTAGGTTTGTCATCTCTCTTGCTTGTACTTTTAGATATAGCGTTGCAGTTGTTCAAAGAAGTAGATACTAATGAACTGGACGGTGTTTGAGAAATCTGCTTTTGATAATTGTGCATTAGTACTGCATTTGCAACATTTGAAAGGTTAGAATATAAATATTGATACTTCAAGCAACCCACGAACTGGGGTGGCAGGAGCCGAAACAGGGTGGCTTCTCAACCCAAATTGCCATAATTCCCGATCCAAATTGTAACTCAAATTCCCAAAAATGATCCACTACCTTGGTGATCCCAAACTATGAGCCTTATTGGTTATTTATTTACTAGGAAGTATGGATAGGAACACGGGTGTTGTATTTGATACGATGTAGATACGGGGATACGACAAAGGTCGAAAATATAGGGCATTAGTACGACAAAGTTCGAAAATATAGGAAACAGGTATGGTAAAGATAGGACTAATTAAAATAATATATATTTTTTGGATAAAAGTTATAATAATATTATCAATAAAACCTAGTAAATGTTAATTTTTTGATTAAAATTGAAATAAATAAAATTAGACATCCACCATTTTTATCAAACATCATTACATTCATTAGTATTCATTCATAATCCATAAGTTACATAACAGAAAACACAAAAATAAAATAAAGGAATTATGCACCCCTCTACGTAGTTACTGGTCGTGAGAAATGAAAAAAAAATCCTGACCGTATTCTGATTGTGTCCAAGCCGTGGCTTGGCTGTGGTCGACTAAATTCTCTATTCAGGACACTTCTAATTGTATCGGACACACGACACCCCTCCAACAAGTATCCGTGCTTCCTAGTTTATTTATTTTGGTGTTCTTTAAACACACATTTTGATTTATCGTGGTTTGATTTTCTTTTTAATACAAAAGGGCTACCACTAGTTTTTTTATGTACAACCATTAGTTGGTACATTGCCTTGCATTTTGGTTCGCTTTAAAACTATTACTAGTAATATAACATAAATATTTGTTAACTACAAGTATATGGATCTATAAATATATATAATTTGCATATAATTATGAAAGTGATTTGGACATGAGGTACAAATTGAACCACGAGCTAAATATTGTACCTCGTCCAATACTCATACCACGTAACAAATTGACCCATGATCTATGTAAACATTAGGTTAGATAGTCTTTCTTTGATTCAGTGTAAATGTTTGACAATCTGATTAAACCTGTTTGCAGCAAATTTGAAGATATTTATGATGAAGATTATTTTGTTAGAACCTTGGAAAATGATGTGCGGGTGGTTGACAAGATCCCTGGGTACATAATGGAACGTTTTGACCATAATGTGAGTAATGTATACAACTTTCGAGTGAAGGCGTGGTCATCCATCCAATATTACAGGGATACCGTTCTCCCGAAGCTACTTGAAGAAAAGTTAGTTGATATACGTTTTGCATTCTCTCTTCCCCCTTTTCCAGGCTACTCTTTATTCTCAACATGATTACTGCGTTAGTACATAATCATGTTAAACTAAGTTGGATGCATGCCTATATGTAGATTATTGTTGTGTGGTGTCATTTTTGTTGATGATGATCCCAAATTATATTCATATATTCAGAAAATGGGTTTACTGCTCTGAGTTGGAAGCTATCATATGATAAGTCCTGGATTTTCTGAAGTACAATAATCTCCTAAATGCTGACTACATACAATACTGGTGTCATTTATCTTAAAACGAAATGGAAAGGTATAAATGGAATTTAAGATGCATTTATGGGGAATCTAATATATAGTATATAAAATGAGGAAAATGCTATTTGGATTTAATCTAGGGACCTAATTCAATGCAACTATTGGATTGAAAGTGAACTTCATCTAACATTGGAATTCACGACTAATCCAATGACTGCATTGAATTAGGCCCCTGATTTGGCTCCAAATTAGGTCCCTATAACATTGCTCATAAAATAATGTTCAGGGCAATTTTGTTTGTCTTTCTCAATGGCCACTGATCTGGCACTCTTATTCCAAGAAGCCATGTTAAGAGGTGATGTAATGGTTCTCCCTCTCTCAAATTCATTTTTAATTTCTAACTCAACATTTAATACTTGTTTTAATATTTGTATTCTTTATCTAACTAAGGATTTGAGTGGATTTTGACTATTTTTTTGGAGCTACAGTTCAACGGAACCTTTCTTTTTAGGTTTTGATCTATATAATTACATGCTAAACTATAATTTATGTAATTATGAGTACAATTTCTCTTTATAGAAGATTATTTTCACTATTGGTATAAACAGTTGTAGAAAATAGATTATAGTAGTCTTAGAGTGCACCGTGCAATTCTACTGCTGGTTTCAACCATGCTCAGCTGCTTTAAGATGGGTTTACTTAGGATTAACTTTTTTGCCTAGACGTAAGATTTTGGGATGCTACCTCGCATCACATGTGCCACACCACGAGACTAAGAAATGATGAAAGCCACTGGATTTTCATTGTCAGTGATTATGAGCTTGGTACGGATCAAAAAATAATGAGATTGGTAAACTTCATATGCTTGACAGTTATTCTAGTTTTTGTCGTTTCATATTCTGCTATGCTAGTTGTTTTTTTCCTTGGATCAGCAACACAAGATTCTCATCAATAACGAAAAAGCATGACACGAGGGACAAGAAGTCCGTACCTTTAGTGGAAAAAGACAAAGAAAAGTAACCAGAGTGGTGAAAAAAGACAGAAAAGTAACTGGAGGTTAAAAATACTAGTTACATGTTGTATTTTTCAGGCTCAAATACCTTCCACATGCCCACAACTTTTGATAGTTGGTAGTGAATTGACTACACAATCGTTAGAGAATAGGACTTGATTGGAATTTACTTGTGAAAAGTTTGTTTATACTGTCACAAAGCTTATATGAAGAATTTAACAGTTAGATCTTGTTTGAGTGTGTTCTTCTTTCATGCTTTTGGCATTACAAAATGGAGTCATTTCACGTAGTTAAAAATATTGGGTGATCTTGAACTGCATTTTGGGTAGCCTTTTAGCCCTTGTTTGCCTAATTAGTATTGGAAGTTGCATGATATGGTTGCATAGGCTCCTAATATATCAATCTCATTTGTCTAATTTTAGAGGATCTTATTGTTTTGGGCAGCATAATAAGTTTACTAGATGGTGGGATATGCTTTAGGCAGAGTAAAAAAAATACTTAACTTGGTTTGTTCCTTTAAACTTCTCATTTGTTTTAATAATGTAAACTGTAATTATATTTCTGCCGTGGATTTATTCATGGTTGATAGGGGTTGTAGTGTTATGTCTCTATGGGTGAGGTGTCTGATAACTTGTTCTCATTGCTTTTTAAATTCCATTGACCATTCAACTTTTCCTTTGTTAAGATGTTTCTAAATGTTTGATCCAGGGTCATAAGGTTTTCTCCTTTTGCAAACCGATTGTCATTTGATGCTCCACCAGTGGTTCAACGTCTAAGATGCATGGCAAATTATGAGGCTTTACGTTTTTCAAGCCCCCTTTTAACATTGGGTGAAACTTTGGTAGCAAGAATGAAAGAACGTAGTGCTAATAATAGTGGCAAGTACATTTCTGTGCACCTTCGCTTTGAGGAGGTTAGTGTCCAAGAAATTGGAAGAGCTGAATTTAATTGTACTTCATTTTCTTAACATCTATTATATTCACAAGAATTGTTAAGAGAGGTTGATCATCTTCTCATGCAGGATATGGTTGCATTTTCTTGTTGTATATATGATGGTGGCGAGAAAGAAAAACGTGACATGGATGCTGCAAGGGAGAGAGGTTGGAAGGGGAAATTTACGAAACCTGGTAGAGTTATTCTTCCTGGAGCTATCAGAATCAATGGAAAATGTCCTTTAACCCCTTTAGAGGTATATTTATTGCCATGGTACCATCCATTAACTTTCATTTGATTCTTTTTTACTTTTATCAATCCTGGTTTTACATGGTCATGTATTCACTTATGATTTATTGTTTTATCACCTTCTTTGAGATTTGGCTGTATCACTGTCTCACTGTCAGTTTGTTGATATGCATACCTGCTCTGTGTACGATTAGTTAGATGATGCACAAACACTTTTCTCTCTTTGATTACATTCACCTCAAGACTTTTGGTTATGCTAAATCATGTGCCTTTATGCTGATTAAAAACATATGCCTTATGTGTGTGTGTGTGTGTTTGCATGTGCGTGCAAGGCTTGTAGCAAACACACAATCACATTATCTGCTTTGTGCTCCGATCAGTGAGGCTCATCTCAGTCCCTTCCCCGCCCTCCACGTCAACAACCTTGAACCCTATCTATGATCAATTCCAACCTCTCTTTTGGAACCCCAAATCACGATCATTCTCAATCTCTCTCAGCTCATCTCAGTCCCCCTCCCAGAAATCACATGTTTATTACATTGATCACAATCGATTAAGTGACAGATTGTTGAGTTACTTTCAGATCCGGGGTCCTATAGTAAAATGAATTGAATGTGTTAGTGTGTTAATGCAAATTCAAGCAGTGCTTCTTGGATAAAACAACAATTTATTTTTTGCCAAGTGTAGGTAGATGTTTGTAAGATTTTTTTTGGCCCCCCCAAAAAAAAAGTTGAAATGAATGAAGAAAAATACTACAATGGTGACTGGATAAATTGCTTTCAAAATATCCAAATGTTGGTACAAAAGGATAACTATGGATGGTTATAAATTGCAATACGAAAGGAAAAGCAAAAATTGGAGAGGTTGTGAAGAAGTGGAAATCAAATACTTTATGTTGGTGTAAATTTTCTGTGGCTACACCAATTGCTATGATTGAAACATGAACTGATATAATAGATTCCCAAACAGCCTTTGTAAGCTATGATGAGACTAGCTTCACATTTCTATTACTTGTTTCTGCAAGTAGTGTTGAATGAAAATTGGATTGAACTCTTTGTTTGTCCTAGTTTTTGTTGCCAAATCCCCCCGTCCTACATTACTAGTTAAATCTATGCTTTCTTGTTTGTCATCAGGTTGGCCTGATGCTTAGAGGAATGGGGTTTGATAAAAGCACATCCATTTATTTAGCATCTGGACAGATATACGACTCTGAGAGATATATGGCTCCACTATTTAAAATGTTTCCCCTGCTACAAACAAAAGAGATGCTGGCATCTGCTGAGGAACTAGCTCCATTTCAGGTTTTTGATGGCTTTCTTTGAATTTTGCCACATTTCAGAGGGTGATTCCATATCGTGTTTGACTCAGTTTACTGTTTCTAGAATTATTCTTCCAGGATGGCTGCCATAGACTACACTGTTTGTCTTCATAGCGAAGTATTTGTGACAACTCAAGGTGGAAACTTCCCTCATTTTTTATTGGGCCACAGAAGATATTTGTATGGTGGACACTCGAAGACAATCAAGCCTGACAAACGGAAGTTAGCATTAATATTTGACAATCCCAATATTGGGTATGCATTCATCTCGTTGCTATGGTTTTGCTTATATTTAGTTGATCTGTAGTCTAGTTTTGAATTGACTGGAGTATTCTGAAAATAGATTGGGATTTGCTGCAATTAAAGCATATGTAAAAGATGGCTTTTTGAAATGGTTTCATACCTTCTATGTTTCTGACCAAAAAAAGAGAAAAGAAATGGTTTCATACCTGGCATGGCTAAACTGGCTGAAAGAACTTGGATACACTATAGACAAGTATTCAAATGCCGGTTATTTTATGAGATTTACGATATTACAACGGACCAAAATATTTAAAAATAGATTGGAATTTGCTTCAATTAAAGCATATGTAACAGATGGATTTTTGAATTGGTTTCATACCTGGCTTGGATTAAACCTGGATGTTAAAACTTGGATATACTGTAGGCAAGTATTCAAATGCTGGTTATTTTATGTGATTTACGGTACTCTTAAAATGTCAGGTGTATTGTGCTGAGAGGGGCATAGGGTGCACAAGACAAAATAATAAGGACAATTTTTGTTATCATGTGAACTGTTGTCTACTAGTATTAAATTTTGGTGTTGGTACCTTGAACAGAGAAACCATGCCATGTTTAGATTCAAGTGTCTATTTGGGTGTAAGAAGCAGTGACCTTCTTTTGTAACAAGTCTAGGTTTGTTTGTAAGTGTGAGACTGTTTCTTCTGAACCCTTGTGTATGATATGGAAATGGTGGGGCTTATTTTGTTGTCAATTATTTACTGGCTTTTGTCGCAGGTGGAAAAGCTTCAAGCGGCAAATGCTGAATATGCGAGCTCATAGTGATTCAAAAGGAATTGAGCTCAAAAGACCAAATGACTCGATATATTCATTCCCGTGCCCCGATTGCATGTGCCGTGTGAACAAAACAGAGGACTCGAGATCACCATCTGTGACGTGATTTGCCACCAGAATATATTTCGGAGGTGTTTCAATTCATGTAATTTTGTGTGCACATCTAGCTGGCTAACCCCCCCTTTTTCCGATTCTATTCATTCATTCTTTACCCCTTCCATTGGGAGAGGGCACACACTTGGGACCTTTGGAGCTCCAAGGATTTGTTAGAAGACATCAATCTGACCGTTGTCAAGTTTGAGTCTGAGTGTAACTGCATTTTTTGTACATGATACCAGAAGAGACCACGAAGAAGATTTGCCCACTTCTGGAGTTTCCCGGGCATTATTTTCACATCTTTGCATCTTGTCGCAGCTGCTGTATCCAAGAAGCTGTGAAATGGCATATTGCTTACTTCTACACCCTGGTGATTCTGTATTTGTATTTTACATTAATTCGTTCAAACACCACACGTAGGACTTTCCAACCAGGATGAGCTGTATACATCTACCATAATCAGGTACTCAAATTTTTCCTTTTGGAAGTCAGCAAACTTTGTTTTTTGAAGCTTGGTACCCCAAGTGTCCTTTTCTTTTCTTCACCATTTCTTTGTAGTGTATTGTGCAAAAGTTTTTTTGTAGTTGATGTTATTTCCTTGCGTCAAACTGCAAGGCTATTCTTCTATTATGTGTCATGAAATTGCTTGAAATAGGAAATCTGACTCGGGAAAAAGGAGGAAGAAGCAGTCAATTCATGCATACTCCCAAAGGCATATTGGCGCATATTCGAAGGTATATTGGTGGAATACTCGAAGGTATATTACCTTGGCTTGCAGAAGAACGGATAGTAGAACATTGCGAATTAGAGATTCTGTAATATACTCTTTCCCGAAACTTCTCATACAATCCAACCCACTAAAATGAAAGTAGGAATCATTCTCCGGACGGAATTGCATCTTCATTATTGGTCTGCAGTTCTATGCCATTTCCACATTTTGACTTGGTTTCTGGTCTTCACAGATTGTTTATTTTACATTGCACAGTACTTTAATTGCTCAAACTAAGAAGGGGAATTCTATGGTATCGGAAAAAAAAAATTTGGTATTGTTACTGCTGATTACTATTTTTTTGAAAGGAGAAGTTATAACTGGTCAAAAGAGATCATGATCAATCAAGAAAAACATAGTATCGATTTTAATATATTATGGTTGATCTTGTTCTTTAAAATTGTAATTTACACTTCTAAAAAGTTGTAACTTTTAGTACTGGTATTACTGATGGTACTATAGAAGTTTCCGACTAAGAAAGGTTGATGTACTCAGTTAGAGGTACTCAGAGGTTATACACTACTAAAAATGCTATGCAATTAGTCTCGCAAAGTTTTCAACTGGTGCTTAGCCCTGCTTGGAGAAAAATGGACGGGATTACAAAGGAGTAGACGTTATGCTTTGAATTCTATTACTTGCCACCGAACTAGAGAAAATAATCTGTTCAACTTGTCGATTAGTTAATATTTGAGGACCTTTTTTTTTTTTTTTGGAGGGGATTGTATTTTGCACCTTAAAAAATTTATAAATTTATATTTCATATCCTCAAAGATTAAATTTATTTTATTTTTCTCAGTATATTAAAATTATTTCAATGTGACCCTTCAATTAATTTTTATTACTCATTTTGTCAACATCAATGAGTGGTTTTTAACATAATAAGCAATTGAAATTAACTGAAGAATTACATTGTAACATTTTGTATACAGTGAGGGTGTAATATGGAGAAATTTAATTTTTTGTGGGTATAAGGTGAGAAATTTAAATCTATTGAGGTACAAAATGAGATTCCCTTTTTTTTTTGGTCAAAATGTGTAGGCCCTGTGTATGTTTTATGGAATAGGGAATGCATTATTCAACCTCATAGATTGCGCATCAGCTAATTTTTTTTTTTTTTTTATTGTTTGAAACCTTTATTCATCCATGTTTGGTGTTCAGATTGCCCATGGTGATGACTGTTTGCACAAATGGTACTTTTATCTAACCAGTCCTCTATTTAATTTGCTCAGATTTTTTGTTTTTACTTTCCCCTGGTTTATGAGTCGTTGACAGGTGATAGGGGCAGTGGTGGGGGTGTTGGAGTGGCAATGGAATGATGATGATAATGATAAAAAATATAAAATTAAAAAGTCATAAATACTAAAAATATTTTTAAAATTTCATTCCAAGCGCTTCCTTAATTAATGTTTTTAATTAATGATATTTTTGCTAAGTTCTAATTTTATAGAATTTTAGCCATAATAGTGTTCGGAATGAACCTAAAGCTCAAAAAATTCATAATGGACTTCTGGCCTGTTTTCTCGCAAAAATAAAAAATAAAAATCGTGTTTTCGCTTGTTCATGTTATCATATAATTTTGAGTCCATTTGTTTTAACGAGAAAATGGTAGCAAATGCAAGAAGGTAAAATTTTTAAATTTTTTTTATGTGTTTGGTTAGCTTGAAATGAAAAATAATGAATTTTTTTTTTACATAGATTTTTTTACAACTAACCATTTTTTTTTCTTTACAAAAAATATAAAAAAAAGAAAAAAAGTTGTTATCAATAACCTAATTTCACATTATATGCTTATTTTTTTAAAAATATTTAATTAAGATACATATTTGATTAACCATGTAATTTAATCTAAAGTTCTGGATTCGCGTTGATCAGTATAAAAAAAAAAAAGAAAAAAAAAAGAAGAAAAAAGCTGACGAAGTCTCCTAGTATGTAACCAGCAGAAGCTGGAAACCTTCGAGCCAGACCCTGGTAGAAAAATCAACCTACTAAAACAAAAATGGCAGCGGTCGGAGCTTACCTCAATCACGTCTCCCGTGAATCCTCAGACATTAAACGCCTCGCCAAATTTTACCAGGAGGTAGAAAATCACTCCCAAGTCTTTTGATTTCTCTCCGTTTTTGTTGTAGAATTAGATTAGTTTTGTTGATGGGCATTGAATTGATATTTGATTTGGTGAGTTGTGTAGACATTGGGTTTGAGAAAATTGATAGTCCTAAGTTTGAGTTTGAGGTGATATGGTTGAAATTGGGTCCATCGTTCTATCTCCAACTGAGAGAGAGAGAGACCCAGGAAAGAAAATTCACTTCCAAGCCGTTTCATTTCTCTCTGTTTGCTATAGAATTTTATAATTCTCTCTGATTGGCGTGGAATTGATATTTGCTTTGGTGGGTAGTGTAGATATTTGTGTTGATTTGGTTGAAATTGGGTCCATCTTTTATCTCCACCTGATTGGGAGGGACCCAGGAACCAAAATTCACTTCCAAGTCGTACGATTTCTCTTGTTTGTTAGATAATTATATAATTCTCACTGATTGGCATGGAGTTGATATTGCGTTGGTGGGTTGTGTAGATATTTGGATTTGAGCAAGTCGAGAGTCCTAAGCTTGAGTTTAATTTGATTTGGTTGAAATTGGGTCCATCTTTTTATCTTCATCTGATTGAAAGAGACCCAGAAACCAAGCTTCCAGAAGGTCCATGGAGTGCCTCTTCGGCCGTGGCTGACCCCAAGAATCTTCCTAGAGGTCATCACATCTGTTTCTCTGTCTCCAATTTCGACTCTTTTGTTCAGACACTTAAGGTATCTCCATTTTTCTGTCTGATTAGATACACATAAACAAGTACACAGATATACCTGGACAATACTTTTAAGGTGATTTGTTGTTTGTGGTTAAATTCTTTTATGCAGCCATAAGGATGTTAATTTGGGTAAATAGGGTTTTATGATTCATGAACCTGTTTACTGTATAACTCATCTAGAATCTGTTTTTGAAAGTTGGAAACAAAAAAAAAAAAAAAAAACCTACATGATGTAATCAATGGGAACTCTTCTTTCTCAAGTGCTAAATTTTCCGGATAGTGTTTTTGGTTAAATCTTGAAGTGGCGTCTATGAACTTGATTTTGCAACCATTAGAATAACTACCACTCCAATGTAATTTGGTCAGATATTGTTTTGGTTTTCCTAGGGTTAATGTTTTGGGTAGAGGTGGTGGGAATTATTTATTTATTTATTTATTTTTATTTTGGGGCTACGGGTGAACTGATGGGGGAACCTTTTTGAAAAATACTTTTAAGTGGAGAGACATTTCCTGTGATGGTGATTTTCTTATGGTAATTAATTTATCAACTGTTTCCAGAATTCACTGATATATATGATCAAGCATTTCAGCTTATTTCAACGAAATCTGGTTATATTGCAGAGAACCTAATGCAGTGCTATGCTATGCAGGAGAGGGGAATTAATGCACATGAGAGGACGCAACCAGATGGGAAGACCAAGCAAGTATTCTTTTTTGATCCAGATGGTGAGCGCTCACATCTCTATTTATTTCTGATTGTATTTTACCAGGGCAAAAATTTTTTTTGAAGCTAATAAAGTGAAGCACTGTTACATTCTTTATGTGCCTGTTGGAAGCTTCTTTTTTTACCAATACCTTCATATATAATTAATATTCAATGTTTCTAGTTTTAATTTTAATGACATTTTCCCTGCGCAAGTCACTGATTAAATTGCGGTTTTGCAAAATGTCACCCAAAGCAATGCTGTCATGTGCAGGTAATGGATTAGAGGTTGCTGGCAGTGCTGCAGAACAGTAAAGCAGAAAATCAGGTTGTCTTCTATAAACAAGGGTGGATAATTACCTTTAGTTAAACGGTGTATTAAGCAAGGGAAGATAATTACCTGTAGTTGAACGTAATAAGCGAGAGTGAATAATTACCTATATATACTTAGAAAGTGTATAACAACCACCTAGTGACTTATGAGATGAGAATGCTATGCAAACATTTTCATGGTAACAGCTATATGTGTTTTTTCTGCATTTATGTTGTTCTTCAATGAGTGATGTTCTGCGATTGTGTCTAGAAAATTGGAATTTAGATTCTTTGAATTTTTGGTTGTGTTCTGAGATTTTTAACTTAACAAGTTGAACTATAGGTTATACTTGATAATAGTTCTAAAAAATAGGTTGTCTCTCAAAGATTGTTTGGGTCAAAGAGAATGAGAAACTCATGATGGCAGAGTGTGAAGTGGCTTCTAAGTTTGGGTTTTCATCCCATGGCACATGCTCTGCTATGAGATGGGGCAGAGGTTGAGTGTCCGGCTCGGAGTCCAGCCCCGTGACATTGGATGGGTCATGGTGAGGTCAAGTTTATTGCATTTGCAATGGTGATATATGTTTTCCATGTAAAATTTCATGCGCCACACACTAGTTATAGTATTCTTATTCACTAGCTTGGAGAATTCAAGTTTTAGGAACTCAATGCCAAGGGTGGTTGAAGTGCAGTGCAGTAAATCAGAGTGGAGTGCAACACAGCGGAGCGAAGCTTAGTAGTTTGTTTGAGGGAAGAATAGGGTTTTTTTTTGTTGGATGGGTGGGTGGGTGTGTGTGTTGGAGGGGATATGATAAGGGCAACTTGGGTATTTTTCATGCACAAGGGTATATTAGGTATTTTCAATGTACAAGTATTAGGGTTTTGGTGTCGATATATATATATATATATATATATATATATATATATATATATATATATATATATATATATATATAATCCTATTATAATTATGATATAGTAAAGAATAATGATCAATATTTTACCAAATTATATAAATTGAAATATTATCTATTTCAAGTAATTTTCTTTTCTTGTTAATTATTGACTATTGCTGGGTCTCTTAACAAGTGGTATCAAAATCGATAGCTGTTGATCCTAAGTGAACTCTCGAAGAAGTGGTGTAGTGTACTACATTAATGATGACTATTAAGAAAAGTGATGGAGTCAGGCCTAGAAAAAGAGCAGAGGGCGGGCATGAGCGCAAGGCTCTTGGTAGAGTGATAATATGGTGACTCATAAAGAGTGGTAAAAAACATGGTTCTTGAAAAGAGTGGTGGATTAGAATCAAAGGAAAGTTAAGCTCAATGTGGTTCACACATGAGAAGGAGATTGTTGGATATTGCATGTGTGGAATTTCATATCGAATAGAAAAATAAACTAAAGTATCATAATAAACTATTGATGAGCTCATCACCTATATGATTAATCTTATGTGGGAATAGAATTTAGACATGTATATTAGATCTTACATCGTTGAGCTCCCTAGTCTCTCAAAAAGTGGTATTAGAGTTGATAACTGATGATTTTGGATGAATCTCGAAGAAATGGTGTAGCGTGTCGGTATGAGTTGTAATGTGGTGACCGATGAAAAGCGATAAAAACTTGAGAGTGGTGGATCAGATTCAAAGGGGAGCTACGCTTGATGTGGTTTCCGCATGGGGAGATTGTTGGGTCTTACATGTGTGAAATTTCACTTCGGATAAAAAAATAAATTGAAGTGTCCTAATATACTATTGATGGGTCACCACATATATAGGATTAAGCTTTTAGGTGGGTATGAGCCCTAGATGGCATATTGAGTCTTGAATCATTAGGTTGAACAATTCCCCAACAATGGTATCAAAGCCGAAGGATGACATTTATATTGAGTCTTAAATCATTGGACTCTGCAGTCTCCCAACAACTCTAAATACCAAATTATATATTATAGGTTAGTTCTATAAATAAATGTAAACCCAACATTGGAGCAGAGACTTAGAAATGTACTGAACCCTAAACACATTTGAAAAAAAGGCTGTCACAAGAAGTCCCTCGTGACTATGATGACTGATGCGTTAACCTCAGACAGCTTAGGTAGCCAGAACAATTGTTCTCTTCCACAGCTGCATACAGCGATACCCTACCATGCATTGTTATATATTATACATGTAGGAAAATTCTATGGTACCGAAAAAATTGTTATATATCTACATGCATTGTTATATTTTTTTTTTATATTATACTATTAATTACTATTTTTTATGATAAAGTTATAACTGTAACGGGAAAGTTACAACTATTAAAGGGAAGATCATGATCGATCACAGACACCTATAATCGATTATGGACTCTTGATATCGATCTCAACTTTTCATAATCAATTATACCCTTTAAAAGTTATAATTTCGCCTCGAGAAATTATAACTTAATTTTAAAAAAATTACAATTTTTGGTATGGTACCACCAATGGTACAATAGCCTTTCCCCTACATGTAATGCTACATATGCTAGAATTCTAGCTGACAACTTGAGAATGTACCTTGGACTATTTGGCCCAAGTGTATTAAGGTGGACAGGATGGTGTTGATAGAGTTCTACGAAAATCAAATCGAGTTGAGCATCATACTTTTCGGTAACACAAAAAACATGAATGAATGAACTCGGAATAACACAATTGTTTAAACCTAGACAAGCAATTGGACTAAGAGAAAACAATTTTTCAAAATAATTTGTTTTGTTCAAATACAAAGCTCAGCTCAAGAGATTATCGGCTATACATAATAGCAAAACCCTAATAAAACTAGGAAACAAAATAGCCTAGATAGTCAACAAGAAAAAAGCTAATAAATGATAAGAGTCTTCAAAACAGCATCACGTTTATCAAATGTCCAAGTTTTCTTCACGACTCGACTCTTTTCCTCACCTTGGCCTCTCACTTTGTTTCGTTCTTTTTTTGTACCGTAATTGTTTATTAAAAACTCCTTTCATTTCAAACTTAATTTTACTTCAGTTCTGAGGTGAAGGGTATCTTGAAACTTTGACGTGCCAGTCAATTAAGGGTATGAATTGATTCGACAAAGATCCTTAAATTAACATGATTAATAAATATGTATAATAGATGAATTAAATTAATATTTGACACTTATAACACATTAGATATTTTTTTTTTCTCATAGGTATTGACACGACACGATCAGACACCCTTATCAAAATGATAATTACTTAGATAGTCGGTATAAAGAGAATGTTAAAGATAACTTGAAACTTTGGAGCTGTCTGCCATTTATGGGTGTCAAGTTAACCCATTAGGATGAATAAGACACAAATGTGACATGACACGATTCTAAAATTAATATGATTGATAAATACATATAATAAAAATTGGATTAACGTTTGATACCTACAACACATTAAATAGATTTTTTTCTTGCGAGTATTATAATGAACACACGTGAATTGTAATGACACGACCTAAAAATAATAGTACGAAAATAACCCGAATTGACACAACACGTGCTACCAATATTCCCTTAAAGTAGGTATTTGTTGGAAAGTAAACTTTCTTTAAGGAGTTATTTCAATATTAAGTGATTTTTGGTGTATTAAATTCTTCAAGTCCAAGTAATAGAAAAAGTGAAGTCTTAATATTCTAGTAGTTATAAGAATTGGTGGATGTAGTAGTACTTTGTAAATCTAAGTTTAAGAGTTATTGTTGAAATCTATACATAGAAATACTATATAAGATGCAATTTTAGAGGTACATGTAAGAGTTCTAAAAAGAGTTTAGTATGAGTATCATCGAAAACGCCATGAATGAAAATCATTTTAGTTATTGTTGAATGAAAATCATTTTCGTTTTTGAGTGTTTGCTTCCTCTGCTATCTCAAGTTGTATTTCAAGTACTTTCAATTTCAACAAAATGGAGTTACTGTTCTTTTCTAACCAGAGAAGCATTAGAGAGACCATGACGCCAAGAATGGCTTTTCCTTTCCTTATATCAGCCAATCTCCGACGTATGAACCAAATAAAGGAACCCAGAGGGAAGTAAATAAAGAGAAGAGAGAGGAGAAACTTAAAGTCCTAATCCTTTAGTAAACCTTAAAAAAAAGTCAAGTGCTGCCAGTCGGCTACCTTATTTCCAATCCGAAGTCACCTTGGTTCGGCTACCTTATTTCCAATTAAGCTATTGTAAGTCCTTATGCTTACCCACCTCTGCTAGATGAGTCCTAGTTGATTAAGGATCAACTTAAGATCTAAAGTCTTAAATAAAAGTTATGGGTACTAGATATGTAATGAAATCCTAGTCTTTTCACCACACTTTTTCTTCAACTAGTTTATTGACTTAAACATCAAAGTCCCTTTGATCGCCCTTGACCATCGGTTTATCTAGGCGTTCTTTTGTCTTGCAGATTCACTAAGCTTCTCCGCTATCTTCTCTGTCTGTACGAGGTGGTTACTCTCTGTGCAGATTTATTCCCACACAAAATTTCAACAAAATGGAGTTACAGTTCTTTCCTAAACAGAGAACCATTAGAGACCATGACGCCAAGAATTGCTTTTCCTTTCCTTATGTCAGCCAATCTCCAACGTATGAACCAAATAAAGGAACTCAGATGGAAGTAAATAAAGAGAAAAGAGAGGAGAAACTTAAAGCCCTAATCCTTTAGGTAATAAAAACCTAAAAAAAACTCAAGTCCTCCGCAAACATACTGCAAATTCCAATCCGACGTCACCTTGGTTCGGCTACCTTATTTCCAATTAAGCTACTATAAGTCCTTATGCTTACCCACCTCTGCTAGAGGAGTCCTACTTGACTAAGGATCAACCCAAGACCTAAAGTCTTAATCTATAACTACTATGAATTCTTAAATTGTCAAAATGTATACGAGATTCACATCATGATAATTTTAAGAAGGCTATGGTACTAAAAAAATTTTTTGGTACCGTACCTTTAATTTTTATAATTTGTGTAGGTATTTTTATAACCAAAAAAATTTATAAATTTTGTGAATATTTTTATCACTTTTATGATAACTTTGCAATCGATCCTAGTAAGTTATTACAAAAATAATAAAAATACCCATAAAAATTGTAAAAATACCAAAAAAATTGTAATGACGTTATGGTACTAATTATTTTTTTCCGATACCATAGACTTATCATAATTTTAATCCACAACAATGGAAAATAAACCCAAAAACAAAACATGGCACTATCTACATTAATAAAACAAAATGTCTTATTTAAGCACTTGACTTTGAAAAGCGGAATAATGGTGTAGATTGTTTAAATCTAATGATTTATTTTATTACTTATTATTTAGTCTTTTGACCACAATAATTCTTTCTATTTATATTTAATTTTTTAACTAAAATAATATTTTAATCAGTCACGTATTAATCACAATAAAAAATAAAAATATTTATATTAAATTAGGGATTTAATGTTGAGACTTAATTCAAAACAACCATTAAATTACATCTCCATGAACTACAAACAGAAGGCTTGAGACATTGATACGAACCAGACTTACAAATAAAAAGAGTGAAGAGAAAAGACGATACGAAGCAGATCTACACGAAGACGCAACAAATCTTATTAGATCTGTGTTTGTTGTGGAAGAAAGTTTGTGATGCGAACATCCTGGACCGACCACAGTGAGGGAGTTTGTCCAAAATGCCCTTCAACACTTTCGCATTCCGTTTGGTTTTCAAAATGAATTTGCACGGAAGTATGGAATCGGACTATAACCGATACTTTAACGACTACATTGTTAAAATTGAAACTCTAAGGACCAAATAAGAGTTTCATCAATACTTTAAGGGTATAAATTGCAATTCAACCTAAATTATATCCATACTGGTGCCGCAATAGATAGAACAATCCAGTTCTGGTATAAACGGACAAGACGACTTTCTCTACCTGCTCTGTAAAACAAAATACCACTTGGTTTCTCCCCTATCCCCGCAAAACTATCCATCGTAGTTTGTTCACACTATCTCCGTACGTCTCTGTCTCTGGCGCTTTGTCTAGCGTATCGTGTCTGCAACGGATTCTTTCAGGCATAAATAGTTAGTTCTCCGTCAGTGTAACATCGATAACAGGCCGAATTTATCTGATAGAACTACGGATATGGGGATTGTTGGAAATCTCAGTTCAGACCAACTCCAATTCTTCAATTCTCAGGGTAACCCTTTTTCTAGAAATCCTTAGAACTCTCTCTATTTCCTGCTACGAACCTTTGATGTTACAGGGTATCTGGTGATGGAGTCATTTGCAAGCCCTGAAGAGATAGATAGCATGAGGAAGAGGATGGACCAGTTGCTTGATGAATTTGATTGCTCTTCCAACGCCTCAATTTTCTCCACCAAGAACCAGGTCCAAGTTGACTCTAACACTGGTTCATATCCAATCGAACTTGAACTCAAATTGAATTAACTGTCGCTTAATTGTTTGAAGTTGTTTCTTGTTTTGTGCAGCAAAAGTTGACTGATGACTACTTCTACGAGAGCGCCGAGAAGATTTCATTTTTCTTTGAAGGTATTGCCTTATGACCCATATCAATTTTCCTTGTTTAATCGTTCTTTGAATATGATTGATTGGGTATTTGAGAAGTTTTTAAAAAAATAGTAGATTCGTAATTCGCCTTCTAGTAGTGCATTATCCAAACAGTCCCAGCGGATTTATCTGTTTCTGTTTATTTTCAAGGGCTTTTGATTAGTTTGATACTTTTGGAATACCATGTCTATTTTTGATGTGCTAATGCTTAGTGTTTTTGTCAGAGAAAGCTTTTGATGATGATGGTCACTTAAAGCAGCCGAAGCAACTATCGATCAACAAAGTTGGGCATGGTATGCACAAAATTGTTTTGGGAAAATTTGACTTTGCTTTCCCTGGTTAGACTTCTCTGCATATCAATCAGTCATCTTGAAAAATAGCTATATAACCGTTATGCAGTTTGAAGATCAAAGTTAGAAAGTTCAATTTGGTTTAACCTGACAAAGGTGACAAATAATGAGTGGTATTTTGAGAAGTCCAAATGCTCATGCAATCCTTAGAAAATACAAATGGTGTGATCCAGCCCAACCCTAAACCAAATCCCACCCAAACCTAACCCTCTTCTTCAACTATCATTAATCTCTCATGTACGCTGGATGCCCTCCTTGACTACTACTCTTTCTTACAATCAATTCTTACATTTATGCAGCCAGACACATACATTTGCAAAGGCATTAATATACACACACATTTCTGCACACAAACAGTATGTCTTTTGCCGCCCCATCATTGGCATAAGCCAATATGGATTTAGGTTTGATCATATCTAGGATTGAAGAAAAACTATAATTTTTTTGAAGGCCTGTGGTGATTTGGGTTGAGCCAATTTATCTTTGGGCCTGATTTGATTTGGGAGGGGTTGCGTGTGATTTCAGAGTAGTTGCAATACAGGTGGTAGTGATGGAGGCAGATGGTGGGTTCGTAATTGGTGAGTTGTGAGGTAGTAGTAATGAGTATAGGGGTGGGAAGGGTGGTGTAGGTGGTTTTGTTTGTGTGTTCTCGAACTGGGATTTTGAAGGGTGGGGTTTCTTTTTTTGAGGTTTTTTTTTATTGGGGGGTTAGGGGAAAGGGGGGGGGGGGGGAAGTAAGAGTTAAGCCACTTAGTGCACACAAGATTAGGGATTTGTTCATCTCTTGTGCGGGTGGTTGTAGGTGGCAAGTTGACGATTGTCGGTGACAGATTAATGGTGGTGGGTTTGCAACGATGTCCTTGGTTTGGCTGAATCCGATTGGGTTTTATCTTTTGGGATTAGGGTTGGGCTAGGGGTGGTGTAGTGTTTAAGGGGGTTATAGTTCAAGGTTGCTGTATTGGTTATTAATTTGGAGAGCACTGAGAAATATCTGTTGTGACGTTGCAAAAAGGTATCGAGCAATTCATATGAAATGCTAAATAGAAGAAGTTGGATATGACAAGAGATTTAGACCATTTCATCCTATTGCGGAATGATCTTAGACAATAAAATACACAATCTACCGAGACATATCCTAGTCAATCACTTTTCGGGCGAGACTTGTGGTTTACGTTGAGTGTGTATCTTTTTAAGGGTGGAAAGTGTCGAGTTAGATATGACTCAGATGAATGTTAGACAGACGGATTGGGGATGGTAATGGTGAGAGAGAGAGAGAGTGAGTTCAGTTTTCCTTTTACATTAATATTGTTAGTGGTGTAATTTGGGTCCACAAATCACGTGAAAGTAATGCATCTATTTTTGAAGGTGAGGGGGTGTTGTCTATTTTTGCCTTTTAAGTTGTGTTTAGATTACACTGTCAGCCATAGTACACCCTTGCCTCCTAAGAATTTGAACTATATGCTGCTTATAGTTTGGGTTGACTGCCAGATGCAGATTGCAAATGCTATTGTAGAAGCTTTGCTGCTATTCTTATTTTGATATTGTGTTTCATGTTGCGTTTTGTGCAGCATTACATGAGATTGACCCAGTATTTAAGCAGTTTTCTGGCTCAGAGAAAGCATTTGGCTTATTGTGCTCGTTGGGTTACAGGAGGCCAGTGGTCATTCAGTCAATGTACATATTTAAGGTACTATTCTGGTTTATTATTATCGGCTTTCTTTCCTATATGCTTTTTGCCCTCCAGCTATGCTCACATTAAAAAAAAAAACACTCTCTTTATGAAGAAAAACTCTTCGCTGCCTCATTATGTGTATCCTTTATCTGAGTATCATGCGCATATTAGCGATGTGAGGAAACTTTATGAAGCTTGATATAGTGGTGCCTGTGTTTGATTTTGAGTTAAGGTCAAATGGAAAGTTTGTAGGATGGGGTTATAGCAGGTGTGAGAGGTTTTATAGAGTTTGTGAATTAAAAAGGGTTGAACATGGTTTAGTATAAAGGTAGCATATTTCTGAAAGGCAGATATTCGTGTGCTTATCAGTTCTGTGTAATGAGTATGTAGGATTTTGATTGCTAAAGTCTAGTCCAGAAGATAGGGAAAAAGTCGGGGTTGGCTAGGCTTCTAGTGTTGAAGCTTGAGATGGGCAAAGCTAAGATATTTCTGAGTGGGATAATTCTAAAACTTATTGCTTTACACTATGACTATGAAATTTTAAAGATTAAAATATAGAAATTCCAATTCTAAATGAGATCCTAAAAAATTTAACAAACTGAGAAAATTCAAGTCTTTTGTATAGTGCATGTATGTGTTCTATCCCTCCTCAGAATTGTCGGTCTATTCAGATCATAATTTTTGATGCCTACATCCCAATTTCAATTTCAAAGTTAATGTTTCAACCTTCAAATTCTAAGAAAAAGGTGTGAAAAACGAGGGCAGAAAGAGAGCACTTAAATGAGAGATTCAAGTTGAATGGCCCGACCGACTGACAATCATTAAAACTTAACACATCGTGAGTGATGGCTACAATCTCCAAGCCTTCAAATGAATCATAAGTCTTGGGTTTCGTCATCGTTTGATGAGTAAAAGGAAAGGGGAGGGGAGGGGAGGGGAGGAGGATTGTGTTGGTGATTTGGCACGTTGTTGTAGAGGAAAAAGGGAGAATTGGAGGCTGAAGAGAGGCCGGAGAGAGCTTTAGATTGAATTGTAATCCAAAAGTCTCTAATTTTATCTCTATATATTTTACTTTCTTTAATTGGGGCCAAGTTCTAAGTAAATTTAAATTTGTCAAATTTTTTGTAAAAATCCAGAACTTAGTTGATACTGGAGTGGGTGCACGTGCCCAGTTGCCCCTATTGATGAAGTTGAGAATATGAGAGAGATTGCAGGTAGAAGAAGGATAGAAAAATGAGACACAAAGAATAATGTGATTTGGTACATCATGCTTACATCTATGGATCAAACGCCCTAGGGGCTACATCGATGTATTATTAATGGTAATTGTATACATTGGGCTCAAATTTATTTATAGGGTGATAAATGAACAAGATAAACACAATTGCTCTAGCCTATCATCATCTTATCCCAATTGTGGATATTGATGGATTTAAAAGAATCTTATCGGATCTATAATACTTCTCGTCAAGTTGGTACACTGAGAAGGTGAAGTGTCCAACTTGAACTGAAACATGGGGTGGTAGTCTACATGACAAGGCTTCAATTTCATATGATGCATAATCTAGTGACTTTTATCAATTGGACTACCCTATTTTTTTAATGCTTACAAGTCTTTTCCAGAAGGAATATGTATTAATTTCATTTTTCAGCAACCAGGAATTGGGGGAGAAGTAGTACCCCACCAGGATAATTCGTTTCTTTATACTGAACCACCAACTTGCACTGGACTGTGGCTGGCTTTAGAAGATGCAACCATTATAAATGGTTGCCTATGGGCTATTCCTGGCTCACAAAAAAGTATATCTCTTTCTATATCTGGCTTGTTTTTCTTTCTTCTTCGCAAGCTTCTAAGAACCTGTCAATTCTGTTTTTTGTTATCTTAGATGGCCTTGTGAGAAGATTCATTAGAGATGACAAAGGGGTTCACTTTGATCAACCATCCCCATCTTATGACCAAAAAGATTTTGTTCCTATTGAAGTCAAAGCTGGCTCCTTGGTTGTCATTCATGGCGATCTTATTCATCAGAGGTCAGTTACTTGAAGATATTTAATCCTCTTAGATAGCATTGAAGTTCATCACGTGATCAGTATTTTGTGTTCTTAGTCATGGTTCTTTTTATGTGTTTTGCTGCAGTTTTGAGAACAAGTCCTCAAAATCAAGGCATGCATATAGCTTGCATGTGGTGGACACTGATGGCTGCAAATGGGCACAGGAAAATTGGTGAGTAGATGGGTGATTTTCCATGTTTTGTTTCGTTGTATTTTATCAGTTAGATATCTACCTGATGAAATTTGAAGACTAAAAACACCAACCCAATTCACTCTGTTAATCCGTATGTTTACAATGAAAGAGAGCATAAAATAAATAGCCTACCGATGTGAGACAATTCTGGAATGGTACACTATCACCGGACGGAATTTCCTCTACATGGAAAGTGAATAAACTACCTTGCTAGAATTACTCCTAAATCAATTATAATAAAGGCTGTACATTACACTAATTCAGGGAAGTAAACAGAGGATGCTAAATATGGAGAGGAACATGCACAGACAGGGGGTGACGTGGGCTTGATTTCCAACACTCCCCCTCAAGCCGCGTTGTAGATGTTGATCATTCCAAGTTTTTTTTTCAGATCTTCGAAGTTAACTCGAGCAAGAGCTTTTGTGAGGATGTCAGCCGTTTGACAGTTTGTCGGAGTGTAGCTGACTTTGAAAACTCCTTCTTCAATCTTTTCCTTGATAAAGTGTCGATCTATCTCCACGTGCTTAGTTCGATCATGATGAACCGGATTCTTAGCGATACTGATGGCAGCTTGATTGTCGCAGTATAATACCATGGGATGCTTCAATGGAACCCGTAATTCTTCTAACAGCCTATTCAACCAGATTCCCTCGCAGATACCTTGTGCCATAGCACGAAATTCTGCCTCAGCACTGCTACGGGCTACCACTGACTGTTTCTTGCTTCGCCATGTGACCAAGTTCCCCCAAACAAATGAGCAATAGCCTGAAGTTGATCTCCGATCAGTCACTGAACCTGCCCAATCTGCATCTGAAAAAATCTCAATCTCTTTCTTTGTTGTTCTTTGAAAGAAGAGACCCTTTCCTGGTGTCATCTTGAGGTACCTCAATATTCTGGTCACAGCGGTCATGTGTTTTTCGGTTGGATTATTCATGAATTGACTTACCACACTAACGGAGAAGCCGATGTCTGGCCTTGTATGAGAAAGATAGATGAGTTTCCCCACAAGACGTTGATATCTTCCTTTGTCAACTGGCGCACTTCCATCACTTTCTTCTAGTTTGATAGTTGTATCCATAGGTGTCTCTGTCGGCTTGCATCCTAGCATTCCTGTTTCATTCAATAAGTCCAGAACGTATTTGCGTTGTGAGACTGCTATACCTTTCTTTGACCTAGCAATCTCCATTCCGAGAAAGTACTTGAGGTTTCCAAGATCCTTGATCTCAAATTCCTTTGTCAGTAATTTTTTAAGTAAGTCAATTTCCTCTTCATGATCACCTGTCAAAATTATGTCGTCCACATATACAATGATAATTGCCAGCTTCCCTTCTGGGAAGTGTTTCACAAATAATGTGTGATCGGATTGACATTGAACGAATCCATACCCTTTCACTGCCTTAGTGAACCGTTCAAACCAGGCCCTGGGAGATTGTTTGAGACCATACAAGGATTTTCGGAGTCTGCAAACCTTGTTGAAATTTGATGTCGTCTCAAGTCCAGCAGGAATGTCCATGTAAACTTCTTCCTCTAAGTCACCATTGAGGAAGGCATTTTTCACATCAAGTTGGTGAAGCGACCAATCAAGATTAGCTGCCAAGGATAAAAGTACACGAACAGTATTGAGCTTAGCAACTGGAGCAAACGTTTCTTGATAGTCAATGCCATAGGATTGAGTGAATCCTTTGGCGACCAACCGAGCTTTATACCTGTCCACATTACCATCTGCCTTGTACTTTACTGTGAAAATCCACTTACACCCAACTGGTTTCTTACCTCTTGGGAGGTCAGTAATTTCCCATGTACCATTCTTTTCCAGCGCCCGAACTTCCTCATCGACTGCCGCCTTCCACTTAGGATACTTGAAAGCTTCATGAATATTCTGAGGAACTTGTATCTCTGTGATGCTAGAAGTGAATGCACGAAACGTAGGTGATAGCTTATCATAAGAAATAAAATTTCCAATGGGATGCTGAGTGCATGATCTAACTCCTTTCCTCCAAGCTATGGGCATATTAAGAATATCATTTTCTAACTCGGAATCAACAGTACCATCAGGAGCATTGTTACCTGGAAGTTTGCTTGGATTAGGACCCGGTTCAGCCTCATGGGTTTGAGAAAGTGCTCCTTCCTCCGTTTCCTCTTGGATGTGCTCCTTATCCCGCAATTCAAGAATGGACTCGGGCTGATAATTTTCAGTGGTGATGGGTGACTCACTGAATGTCTCAAGATCCCAAAATTGATATTCCTGAGTTGAATTCTCCCCCTGAATATCGTTTTTGGGATAGTAAGGCTGGGTTTCAAAAAAGGTGACATCCATTGAATTGTAGAATTTTCTTGTGACCGGAGAGTAACACTTATACCCTTTTTGATTTGAAGAATACCCAAGAAAGATGCACTTGAGTGACCTAGGATCAAGTTTACTTCTATGTTGTTGATTGATATGAACAAAGACAGAGCACCCAAAAATTTTGGGTGGGACGGTGGATATGAGACGAGTAGTCGGAAAGGATTTTAGGAGTGTTTGACAAGGTGTTTGGAATTTTAGTACCCTCGACGGCATCCTATTGATGAGGTAGGCTGCCGTAAGGACAGCTTCCCCCCAGAATAATTTTGGAACATTCGTGGAGAACATTAGCGATCTAGTCACCTCTAACAAATGCCTATTTTTCCTTTCAGCGATTCCGTTTTGTTGTGGGGTATCAACACATGAACTTAAGTGAACTATCCCTTCTTGTGCTAGAAATTCTCCTAGAATGGAGTTGAAATAATCCCTAGCATTATCAGACTTTAGAATTTGTATTTTTGACTGGAATTGGGTCTGAATCATATTTTTAAAATTTTTGAAAATTTGACTCGTTTCAGATTTTTCTTTCATGAGGAATACCCAAGTTAATCTAGTGTGATCATCTATGAATGAGACAAACCACCTAGTCCCAGTTACATTTTTTATTCTTGAAGGACCCCAGATATCGCTATGAATCATTGAGAATGGACTAGACTCTTTATAGGGTTGAATGGGAAAATGAGACCGGACTTGCTTTGATAATTGACAGATTTCACACTCAAAGGATTTTGGATTTTTATTAAATAATGAAGGAAATAACTGCTTGAGATACATAACATTGGGATGACCTAAGCGATAGTGCCACAACATAATTGTACTATCGTTATTTTGACATGAAACCGAAAAAAAATTACCACCAACTTCCATTTGAGGTTGTTCTTGCGGATTGTGGCACTCCTTAAGGATGTAGAGTCCAGAGCATTCCTCAGCATTGCCAATCGTCTTCCCCGAATCCAAATCCTGAAATTCACAGTGAGTGGAGGAAAAATTAGTAATACACCTCTTTTCCTTAGTGAGTTTACTAATTGACAATAGATTACAGTCCAGGTTAGGAACAAGGAGAACAGAGTTGAGAGTAAGATCTCTTGATAGCACAACTGAACCTGTACCGGCAACCTTTGATAGTGAGCCATCTGCTATTCGGACTGTTAAATTATTTGGACAAGAGCTATATGTATCAAAAATTGTCGCATCTCCCGTCATATGATCAGATGCTCCTGAGTCCACTATCCAAGGTTTTTTACGTTTCTTACCAACAGTGAAGGCACTCAAAAAATTACCTTTGTGAGCCAAGGTTCCGGAACTAATGACCTGGTTGGAAGATGAGCCAGTTTGTGACTGTACTGACAGAAGATGAGACAATAGTTTCTGAAGTATCTCCATTTGCTCCTTATTAAAAGGGCTAGCTTCAGGTTGTGGCGATTGTTCATCGGCAGCCACATGATTTCCTCGTCCTTCTTTCTCAGGTGGTTGACGTGGCTTCCAATCTATTGGCTTTCCATGAATCTTCCAGCAAGTTTCTTTTGAGTGTCCCGGCTTTTTGCAATGATCACACCAAGGTCTACCTCCTTTAATTTTTTGACGGTTGTCAAAAGGAGCGAATTGAGTCTTAAGAGCCGAGCTTTCTGTCATATTCAGTTGTTGATGGGATCCCATCATGAGATTTTTCCGACTTTCTTCGCGACGGACTTCAGAGAATGCCTCTCTAAGGCTAGGTAGAGGTTTTATTCCCATGATTCTTCCTCTGATTTCATCAAGATTTTTGTTCAAGCCTAACAAAAATTTAAACACACGTTTCCCTTCGACAATCTTTTTATACAACAAACCATCAGTAACACAATTCCAGTTATGAACCTCAAACGAATCAAGTTGACGCCATAGACGAGTAAGAGTATTGAAATATTCAGTTACCGTAAGGTTTCCTTGACGCAAATCGTGGAGGATGCCTTCAATCTGGATGATTTCAGATGTGTTTTCCTTGTCTGAGAAAGTTTCTTTTGCCATGTCCCAGATTTCTTTGGCAGTATCAAATGACAGAAAATTTTCGCCAATGTCAGTGGTCATAGAGTTGATTAGCCAGGACATGACCATATTATTTTCTGCGATCCACTTTTTGTAGGTTGATGCTGTGGTTTCTGGTGCCGCCGAAGCTCCGGTGATGTAGTCATCTTTCTCCTTTCCCCGTATAAACATTAATATGGACTGAGACCATTGCAAATAATTTTGCCCATTTAGTTTATGGGCTGTGATTGGAAGATGAGAGGTTTCCATCTGATGAGAGGATGAAGATGATGAGATGATGATATCAGAAGTAGAGGAGGATGAGTTGGTAGCCATTCCAAAGACTGGACCGTATTTAGGCATAAAAAAAAACTGACTAAAGATGAAGACAATGAGACAGGATTAAACCATGCTCTGATACCATGATGAAATTTGAAGACTAAAAACACCAACCCAATTCACTCTGTTAATCCGTATGTTTACAATGAAAGAGAGCATAAAATAAATAGCCTACCGATGTGAGACAATTCTGGAATGGTACACTATCACCGGACGGAATTTCCTCTACATGGAAAGTGAATAAACTACCTTGCTAGAATTACTCCTAAATCAATTATAATAAAGGCTGTACATTACAC